GTCGTTGTTCGCTGCTTTATTATTTTATTTTTGAGACAGAGTGTTTTCATAGCTCAGGCTGCCCTCAAAAACTTCATGTAGTCCTGAATGACCTAAAATAAATTACATAGCCAAGGCTGACCTTGAACTTCTGATCCTTCTACCTCCACATCCTGAGTGCTAGGATTTCAAGTGAGTGTAATCACACCAAGTTTACTCTGTGCTGGGGATCAAACCCAGGGCTTCATGCATGCTAAACAAGCTCACTACCCACTGAGCTACATGTCCAGCCCGGGATTTTTTTTGTTTTGTTTTGTGTTTTTAAGACCTGCTTTTTCAGATGAAGCAGGTGAATTTCAGATAAGCAATTCATTTGCCCTAGGACACCTTGAATTCAAGTTTTGAATCTCAGCTCTTGCTCTGTTTACCATACTTAGTGGTGGGGTACTCAGGTTTCTGAGGGTCAGTTCTTATACCCCATTCAAGCACATATGTTGGCCTTTCCATGCTCAGCCATCACTAGTATCTACTAGGACAGTGGATGGTCCTGCTTCCCATGGTGGCCTATGACATTAATAGCTTGCAGTATCAGCCTTTCCAATGGCTTTGACTGATCTGAGTTCCTAAGCCCAGGGGTTTATGGGAGTACTCACTCAGTGAAGGATTGCAATAAGAACTGTCCCACCTAATACCCTCTTTTCACATTTAGGAAAACTGAGGCCTGGGATAGTAAGAAACAAGAAGAAATGCAAGCTTCTCATGAACCTCACAGTGAAACCATCTCTAAGTTGGTTTCAGCACGTCGTCTTTCCAAGTCTCTGGCCCTCAGCTATTAGCCTTCACCAAATTGCTAATGTGCAGAGCCTTCCCTGGCTTGCACCCAGTCCCCTGGCTTCTATTGCAGTGTCCTGCTTAGACGGGGTCTGTCTTCTCTCTCTTGAGAAGCAGACCTTCCTCCTGACAGTCAACCCAGGCCTTAAGGCAGCTCTCCCTCCTCACAGACACCTGCTTCTTACAGAACTACTCATAAATCACTTCAAACTAGCCTTGGTGCCTCAGGCCCTGGCACGTCCACAGTGCCTAATTCTAACACAGGCTTTATGTCAACACAGGCTTCCCAGGGACTCAGCAGGGTCAGCAAAGACTTTGGATGAGAGGAACCTGAGTTTCAAGCCTCCATTGGCCACCAGCTAGCTGTGTGACCTTAGGAAAGTTGCTCAACCTTCCAAGGCCTGAATGGCCACAACTGAAAAACAGGTATTAGATGAGTGAGCACATACGGCTTATCAAATGCCTGAGATGCAAAGGGCATGGAGCAAGGAGAGAATTTCGTGTGAGGAAATGCAAGCTCATTGTTAGATGGCCGGTCTGAAAATCCTCCTGGGCCTCCACCCTGCACTGACACACAGCTTCGCCTTCCTCCCTCTCTGGTCCCTGCATAGCACACATAGCAACCGAGCAGGTAGCAGGTGCCTCCTATATCACTTCCTCTACCCTATTTGAGGACACAATCCTTGGCCACCTCTCCGAACACGGCTCCTGGTGCAGAGAAGCCTGAGGAGCTGTTTCGGGGAGCCTTTGTCTGTGGGTGCAGGTGATAAGACAAGGCACACAGAAGCAGCATTCAAGGGGCTACCCCAGCTCCCAGTCTCAGGAGCAAAGCTGTCCTGCTGGACCTCTTTCCTCCCATTGCCCTTGCAGGTGACCACCACACTTCCAAGAGACCAGAGGCCATGCAGAGCCATGTATCAGGCAAGATCAGTGAAGGAGAACCAGCTCCATGTACAAGGTCAGCAAATGCTGATGCTCGACCCACACAGAGGGTTCTGCAGAAGGTCCAGTGCCTGGTTCTTCTCCCAGGTTCCAGGTCACCATGTCCAGCCATACTCTTCATTACACAGGTTGGAAAATTGAGGTCCAGAGAAGGAAAAAGACCAGCTTCAGTCCTCTGGGAGATTTGGCAGACGTATCTCATGCCTGCTCTGGGAAGGCCAACCTGAGCTGAAGACACACCCAAGGCCATAACCTCTCTCTGTAGGGATGGGAGGGGGATCATCTGCTGCCTGCTTCCTCGGGTTGGCTGGAACCTAAGCCTGACCTCAGCCCAGGACAGACAGAAGGTGTACCTCTTCTGCTCAGAAACTATTTAAGGGCTCATAGAACATGAGCCATTTCAGGGTACAGGCATCCCCAGGGACAAGGCAGGAGACAAGTTCCAAGAACATCTTGACAGCCCCACTGGGGATCCCAGGAAAGCAGAAATAGGTACTCCAGACCAGCATGGTGGCTCACACCTATAAACCCAATCGTCAGGAAGATCAGGAGTTCTAGGTCATCTCTCCTCTTCTCTCCCTCCTCTCTCTCACACACATGCATACACAATATTTTCACATTTATCTTATTATTTATTTGTGTGTGTATGTGAGCGAGGTTGTCCTCGGTGCACCAATGGAATTCAGAGGACAACCTATAGAGGTTGGCTCTCTCCTACCATGTGGATCCTGGAACTCAAACTTAGGTCATCGGTCTTGGCCGCAAGCCCCTTTTCCTCGCTGAGCCGCATCACCTGTCGGAGAGGCAGCTTCTCCTCCTCCCTAGACTCAAGGTCCAGCTGCAGGAGAAAGCTAGCAGATGGCACCCTCAGTCTGTACCCTCTCTTGCCTTAGTACTGCAGCTTCTGCAGAGGTGGTTGTTGCTTGCTTGCTTGTTTGTTTTGCAAACTGAAGGCAGAAAGATACGGCTTGGTTCAGAAGGTCTGAGGCCTCTCCTTAGGGGCCCGAAGGCCTGTGAGCAGAGCAGGAACAAGGCTACAAGCTTCTGCCACCTGGGCCAAAGGAGACTTGGTACGGAACCTGGTTGTTCTCAGGATGGGGGAAGGCATGGATTGCAGTGAATGTCTTAAATGTCCTTCCATGTGAGCGTAAGCCACGGCATGAGACAAAGGCCTTGCACCAGGACAGTCTTGCTGACAGTATTTCTTTATGACATTTAAACAGGCTGCCTGGAGGTCCCAGTGAACATGTGTCTTTAAAAAGATGTGTCTCAGCATCTGCTACCTCCTGTCATTGGGGGGGAAAGTGAGGATCTAGGATCAGAGGAACTTATCAGGACCCAGTATTCCCATTTCTGGCTTGTGACCTCATTCAAATTAACCTCACATTCCTGGGCCTCCATTTCCTTTTCTGCAACTGACCCAGTCCTTCACAGTGCTGTTGGGACACTTAATGAGATAGTATCATGGGAAGCCCTGCCCATGGCCAGCATGGTGTAGACACTCCTTAAATCCCATTTCCTTCCTTCAGCCTAAGGAAGTCTGGCCTCCCTGTGCTGTCTGGAGACACACTGTCCCTTCAGACTCCTCAGAAGAGCAAGCACTATCTCCGTCAAGGGTCTGTGGAGAAGGGGCTTTGCCCATGGACACAACGCCAACCCTCTCCAGGGGCATGGTGCTTCCCTTAAAGACCAGATAGAGCTTCCCCTAGCCTTCTCCTCCCAGCAGGACTGAAGGCTTCTCCCCCCCATCCCCAGCCCTCACCCAGACCTGACACAGCCCAGCTGAGCCACCCAGCTCTCTCCTCTCCCTCCTCTCATACTCTGTTCAAGGCAATGGGATCTGGGCTCGGAGGATGTAGCCCCGATCAGAGGCAATCAGCAGGGGTGTGTGTGTGTGTGTGTGTGTGTGTGTGTGTGTGTGTGTGTGTGTACACTGCTACTGTAATGGGCCCTGGGGGTGCTGGGAATTGGGGAGCAGGCACAGAAGTCTGGATCAAGAAAGGCAGCGAGGGCTAGAGTTGCTTTTGACCTTGAGAAAATCAAAGAGGGCTTCCTGGAGCCAGTGTCTTTCCCTCTAGGTGACTTATGTGCCCTTTGGAAGGAGATGTCTGCTTCGAAGGGACAAAGTATAGCTTTACAGAGGTACAGAGATGGACTTGGCTGGTCATCCTGAAGGCTAAACATGCCTAGCTAAACAGAAAGGGATGTTCAGTGTGTGAGGTCAGGACAGAAGCCAGGAACGGGGTCTGGCAAGAGGCTGTGAAAGGCCACGGCTTAGGATCCCAGAAGAAGACCTGGTTAATGAGTCATGTAAGTATGAGATGCAGTCCAGCCCTGATGCTTACTGCGCATCCACCAGGCTACCAAGCAAGCCCTTCACCTCTACAGCAGCAGGGTCCTCACCGCTAAGACAGGAAGGACAAGCTCTGACCACCCAGCATGGTGAGTATTGAATCAGACACGGGAATGAGTGTGCCTAGCACAGTGATAACCAAATACTCGTGTGCAGCCGTCACTTGAAAATAATTATTAAACACGTGCCCTATGCTCAAGGTGTCCCAAAGAACCCTAGGGAACCATCCCAGCCCCACTTCCACCCCTCCCTGTTCCCCCATCCCATGTGATGCAGAAAAGTGAGCCACCTTTTGGGGCCACAACACTCTGCACACTCAAGAATGAATGAATACACACTCAAGGCGGTGGTGGCGCGTGCCTTTAATCTCAGCACTCAGGAAGCAGAGGCGGGTGGATCTCTGTGAGTTCAAGGTCAGCCTGGACTACAGATTGAGTTCCGAGACAGCCAGAGCTACACAAAGAAACCCTGTCTTGAAAAAAAAAAAAAAAAGGATTATGTATGATCGTACAAGGAGAAGAAAACAAAACAGAGAGAGGTAAGTGTCAGAATGGTGACCTCCTCGGAACTGGATGCCACCAAGAAATGCTGAACACATGACCAAGGGGCATTTGTGAAAAGAAAAGTGATTCTTTATTGAGGGAACAGACAACCACGCAAAGGTCAGTTGCTTCACGCACCTCTACGCTCAAAAGGAAGCCGGGAAAGCTACAACAGGGAGAGCACGCAGAGCCCGGAACTGGAAAGCAGACAGACTCTCTCTTCATCAGGTCACTCTCTGAAAGCATGGACTGGAGTCTGCTTTTCCAACCTCTCTGGCCTGCACCTCTCTCAGCCCAGGGAGAGCAGGGGACATGGGGGGCGTGGCAAGGGTCTTTTCTCCTGCACCAGACACTTAGATGTCTCTCTTACGGGAAGAAACCACCTTTCCATCGACTGACTCCTCCACACTAATGTGGAAGTTGCTGCTGCTGCTGCTGCCGCCACCACCTCCACCTCCCAGGGAGGCTGCAGAAACAAAAAGCAAGCTTCAGCATGGGGGACTTCCGGAAGCAGGCTTAGACTCTGGGAAGATGGACAGCACCCCTGCAGAGAGCCACTGGCCAGTCCCTCTGGAGCTGCCAGGAGGTCTGATGAACTACTCGTCAGAGGTGAGAGCTGGTAATGTCAGGGATGCCCAGCAGTGAATGATACAGGGGATTTCAAGCTGTGCGTGAACAGGAGTTACAGTGAGTATCACGCCAGCATGAAGGTGAGATCAGGAAGGAAAGCCCTGATCAAAGCCTACTCAGCCTAGAATGTTCTTAGGAAACTTCTAATCTCAATTCCACCTAGAGTCCATGGGAAAGGGGTATATTCTGGAGCAGGAGTACCCTGACTTATTGGGACATCTGTCTCTTCCTCCTTCCTCCCCACTGTAAGTAGAATGGTGCCTCCAATACTCTGCTCCCCACCCCACCGAAGGGCTTTACCCTCTCTTACCTTCCCTGGCACCAATACCAGCCATCCTGAAAGAGAAGGGACAGTGGGCGTTAGCCAAGGAAGAAAGCTCCAATCTCCCTAAGGGAACCCCTGGTGGACACTGAGCGGTCCTCTCCAGCCCCCACACCACACATGACTTTTCTAAGGGCTAGGACATCCTGGTGGTCAGTCCCTCGGGTCTGCCATCCCAAACAGACAGAGCAGGAGCTGTGTCCTGTCCATCATTTACAGGAGAAGCACAGGTCCAGAGAATAGACGTGATACACCCAAAATAACAACCAAACACCAGAACAGACTCCAGACTCCTTAGGTCTCATTCTACTCAACAAAGCAGCTCTCGAGATACCCTGTTTCCCTGTTCTGATGGTCCCGGACACAAGCCCATCCGTCCCCTTCCTTTCTTTCCCTGCACCTGTACACCTACTTAGCATCCTGGCCCTCGAGCAGGTTGCGGTAGGTGGCGATCTCCTGCTCCAGCCGAGTCTTTATGTCCAGCAGCATGTTGTACTCCTGGTTCTGAGCCTCCATCTCACAGCGGAGCTCGCTCAGCTGGGTCTCCAGGCTGCTGATGAGCCCCTGGATCTGCTGCAGTTGTGTGGCATAGCGGCACTCCACCTCTGCCAGAGAGTTCTCCAGCCCAGCTTTCTGGTAAGGCAACAGATCCATAAACCCATCAGGCTAGAAGGCAACCCGCTGAAGATAGAGGGGTAGGGAGGATGAGATGGAGTGCCCGGAATGACCACTGTGTGGGATGGGGGTTGAGGCTTTACCAGCCATGGAAGATGGGTACATGTATCACCCAGGAGGGCCAGAGTGGCCGTACCATGCTGAGCTGGGACTGCAGCTCGATCTCCAGCCCCTGCATGGTGCGTCTCAGGTCTGTGATCTCTGTCTTGCTGGTCTGGATCATTTCTGTGTTGGAGGCCACCTCCTTGTTCAGCTCTTCAGTCTGCAAGTCACACATGAGAAACATGAGCCTCACAGGCCTCCTCAGAGGCCAGTGGAGTGGGGAGGTGGGGGAGAGCAGAGCTGAGGGAGTCACACCCACCTTACTGAAGAACCAAGCCTCTGCATCCCGACGGTTTCTCTCTGCAATGGCCTCATACTGTTCCCTCATCTCGGCCAGCACATGGGTCAGGTCCACCCCAGGTGCTGCATCCATCTCCACATTGACCTGGCCAGCCAGCTGACTGCTGAACTCCTTCATCTCCTACAAAGGGGGGGGGGGGACACCATTTAAAGACAAGGCTATAAAACAGACCTGACATCTGGAGTCTTGGGGGCTAACTGACTCTATCGCTAATTTACAATGTGACCTTAGCACATCACACCACCCTATCTCTGTTCCTCGTTGGATCACATGGACCCCTCAGCTCTGAGGAGCTCTCTTGCTCTGGGTCCTATGAAACAAGGACCTTGAGATAATAAACCCAAACCAATCCTGCAGTTCACACCTGACCTGGCCTTGGGTCCAGATTACCAGAGAATAGTGTCCCTTCTCATCCACGGGGCCCCTGGGGTGCATTTCTGAACCACTAAGCCCTCAGCGGACTGTGACAAAAGAAATACAATCCTGCCCTTCTGCCTCCCACCCTGCCCTGCGGTCACCTCCTCGTGATTCTTCTTCAGGTAGGCCAGCTCCTCATTCAAGTGCTCAATCTGCATCTCCAGGTCGGTCCTAGCCAGGGTCAGCTCATCCAGCACCCGGCGCAGTCCGTTGATGTCGGCCTCCACACTCTGGCGCAGGGCCAGCTCATTCTCATACCTGAGGAGTGGAAAGGAGCCCAAGTCAGAGAAGGTGAGGGGCCCAGGTTTCTGAGTCAGAGGGGAGGAAGGCTGGGTAGAGGGGGTGCTGTAGACAGCGGCGAAGCAGTGGGAACTCACTTGAGCCTGAAGTCATCCGCTGCCAGCCTGGCATTGTCAATCTCCAGGATGACACGTGAGTTGTCAATGTTGGCAGCCATTATCTGCAGGAGACAGAGAGCTGTATTTAAGGGCTGCTGTTTTATGTTCTATGCCCAGGTTCCCCTTTGCCGACCACTCCCCCAACTTCACTCCCTGTGTGCTTTCGTTGTGCTAACCCACTCTACCTTCCTGTGACACCTTCAAGGCATAGAAAACTAAGGGGACAGCATTGCCTGGGATTGCCTGTTGGACATGTCTAGCCAAGGCTGTGCTGCAGTGGATGCAGTCGGCTCTGGCAGGTAAGGACTCTCCAGAGACACACTAAACCAGCCTACTTGGGCACAGCTCACAGTGGCAGCCTCCTGCATGCCTTGACAGGGCCCTTTGTCTCCGAAACATTGCAGCCATTGGGAACTTGGACAGCCGCTAAGGAAAGCGTTTACAGCTAAGGAAAACAGATCTAGTTAGTAAAAGGGAAAGTGAGGGGGTGGCCCAGTCTGTATTGAGTTCCCTGGTCTCCTAAGATCCAACAACGATTTCAGCAATAAAGACATCCTTAAGGGCTGGCATTTAGGACTCAGGAGGCTGCGCCTGAACAGCACTCAGGTCAAAAAGTTAAAGCAATCATTTACAAAAATCCCTGCAACTTTGGTAGGGCAGGGAAAAGGAGTTGCTCTCTTTCGTTGCCCCCCATCTGCAACCCCATGTATCCAAATCAGATTCCCAAGACCACTCCCTCTCCCGGCACTGCCAAGTGGAACAGATGTGTTCCCACCTGTGCCTGGAAAGCAAGTGTATCCCAGCCTTGCTGAGGTTACACAGCAGTAAAGGACTTAGTCTCTTAGTCAGCAGTAATGCTGATGTTACAGATGTGTACGGGGCACCAGCCGCCTGTTTCCCTCTGTCTGACATGTAAGGACTTACTTTGTCCCGGATCTCTTCCATGGTCTTAAAGTAATGGCTATAGTCTCGCTCTGGACTGGCTGGGCTCTGCTTCTGGTACCAGTCTCGGATTTTCACCTCCAGCTCCGTGTTAGCCTGCTCCAGGGCACGAACTTTGTCCAGGTAGGAGGCCAGGCGGTCATTGAGGTTCTGCATGGTGATCTTCTCATTGCCAGAGAGGAGACCTCCATCGCCACCCCGCCAAAGTCACCAAAGCCACCGCCAAAACCCCCACTGAAGGCTCCACCAAAACCACCACCAGCACCACCACCAAAACCACAACTCATACCACTGCCATATCCCCCTCCTGCCCCCGAGGAGACAAACCTAGCAGAAGAAGCAGAGATACTTCGGCTCCCGCCTCCCCCGTAGAGACTCCCTCCACCAAAGCTGCCTCCACCAGCCCGGAGGGAACCCCCTCGGGTAGAGCCACCTCCAAAGGTGGAAGAAGTTTGCAAGAATGTGGTGGCCATGGTCAGGCAGCCTGTGCCTTCTTGTCCTTTTCAAGCAGGAGAGACTCCAGCAGGAGCTTCTGAGCTGGGCTGAAACCAGACTACAGTGCTGTCGACCCTAGCCTGGGACTCTTTATATACCCTTGGGAGGGGGTGGGGGCCTCGCCTCCTCCCCCTGAGTGGAGCCAACTCCTCTGCCTTCCAGACACGCACAGCTGCCTGCACACCTCCACGGGGCTCACTTGTGGGGAGTTTTTCTTTTTTTTTTTTTTTTTTTCCTTAATGCAACAAAAGAGATGATTCAGAGTTAATGGGGTTTTGCTCTAGGCCACAGTTTTAACACTTGGATTACAGGTTCATTTCTCACTCCAGGAAGAAGCAAACCCTGGCCATAGCACAGCTCCTAAGGGTTCTCTCATGCCCCATCCCGTTAGAGCAGCCAGGCCAGCCCTGCCCACCCCACCCCACCCCACTGCTAGCATGTGAGTCTCACTGAGGTCGACAGCTCCCTGCTCTAGCTCCCCGCTGTTTGTCCTATGGTTGCTCTGTCCTCCCTGCTCAGAGGCCCTGTGCGTGCATGAGCCTTCGAGACGTGGAAGTCCCTAGGAATGAGAACACAGGTGGCCACAGGGCAGGCTGAGGAAAGGATCTTGAGTCATGTTCCAACTGAGGTGACCAGAAGAGCCAGTACCTGTCCCCCTTTCCCATCCCTGATGCCTGGGAATGTTCTCTCCTCTCTCCATCCCCTCCACCACTCCAGAAGTCCCTCCTGCCTCTTCAGTCCTGCCCCCCCCCCCGACAGCCCCCCAGCTCATGGTCCTGGCTAGGTCACAAAAGCCCAGAAGGCTCAGGCTGACAGGAGTCTGATTGATAGCCCTGTCACCTGCCAACTGCACATGTCACTGAACCTTCGCTTGCTCCTAAGACGCGTTGGGGCAAACCTCTGCAGATAAGACTCGGGCAAGTTCCAGAAAGCCCCCGCCTTCTCCAGCAAGAGACATGTCCCTGCTTAGCAGGGCCAGATTAACCTCCATTTGCCTTGTCAACTGCTGCCAGCTGGGGAGGGGCTGAGTTAGAGGCTCTGCGTGCCTAAGTACTATGAGGGGGGGGGGGGCACTGGCAAGCAGGTGGAAAGCATCGGAGCTCAGCGCCCAAGGGATCAGTCCCATGTAATACTGAGGCCAAAAAGGACAGCCGCACATTCAGGAGGGTCCTCTGGCACCAGCTCGATAGTCAGATTTCTCTGAGCTGGTGGCACTTGGGCAGTGCCACCCACACTGGAGAGAGCCCAGGGAGGGCTCCTAATGGGGCTGCAACATGGGAAAGTGACTAGGTTTCTGGCATGCCTTGGACCTGTGTTTAAACCCCATTTCTATCAACGACTCCTGTGAATCTCCACACATATCGCTTTCTAAGGCTCAGCTTCTTTGTGGTATAGGACATTCACTTTTTAGGACATGCTGGGACTCAAGGTTTCCATCCTGACTCCCCATCATCCATCTGAGGTAAGTGATGGGTGCAGGTCTGGCATCTGAACCTCCTGAGAACCCGCCAGGGAAAACTCTGTCCTTGAACTGGGAGCATTCTCAGGCTCGGCAGCTCCAGCCAGCCATCAGATGACCGACCCTTCTTTCGGCTGTAACAGGATAATGCCCCATACTTTCATGATTGACAAAGTACCTTTGTATCCACAATCCCCTCTAATCCCATGACACAGAGTACAGCTGTGGCCCAAGGTTCAGAAGGAACGAGATTAAGACTCGAAGGGGTGACGCCGCTGTGAACACAGGTCGGCCCACCTGAAAAGGGGATTACCGGGGACTATGTCAGTCTTTGGACCCCGCCACCCCCACCCACCCACCCAAGCAAGATAAAGAGAACTTTCCTGTTATCTGAACCGGGTTGAAAGGAGAACGACAGGCCTCAGGGAGAGGGCTCCTCACCAGCTTCACCGTAAGCCAGGCATCCTGGGGCTGGCTCCAAACAGTGTAGTATTGTCTTATGGGTGGGAGGATATTGTCTTTTCCTTCCAAAGAAAAATAATCAAACCCAGATCAGTCAGAGCTCATTAAAACCTCTGCAGACATGGCGGCCCCAGCAATTAACACAGAGAACAATTAATCTTCCATCACCCCAGGGTGAGGGAGAACTGGACACCAGCCAGCTCCCCTCTGCACCCTAACTCTCCACTAGCAGCTCTTGGGGAGACTTTCCTTCCACTCGCTGATCCAGGCCAGGAGTGACACCTGCCTTCCTCTCTGTCCTAATTCAAAAGAAAGTTTCGAATCTCGGGGCTGGGGAGATGGTTCAGTCAATAGAGTAGTCCCTGCACAAGCATGAGGACCTGGGTCTGCATGCCCAGTACCCCCAGGCACAGTGCTAGAGGCTTATAGTCCCAGCACAGGGTGGGGGTGGGGTAAGGAGTAGATCACTGGGCTCACTGGCCAGCCGAGCTATTCTAACCCAATCAGTGAGCTCCTGGCTCAGAGAACAACCCTTTCTCAGAAACCAAGATGGAAAGAGACTGGAGAAGAATGCTGGCCTTCACGTGTTTACACGCATGAAAGGAAGGAAGGAAGGAAGGAAGGAAGGAAGGAAGGAAGGAAGGAAGGAAGGAAGGAAAGATGGAAGGCCCTGATCTCAGTCCAAACAGTTACTGTGAGCACATATCTGGGTGAGGTTTGGAAACATCTTCATCAACAGGCTGGATAGATATGTACCTGTTTCTGGCCTTTGCCCACGGTAGCCACACAGGTGTCTCTGGAACAGGCCCTCCCTCCTTGAGATGAGGCCATGCTGCCCATTGGGTCTATCTCAGGTATGACTTGGCCTCTCTGAGCCTGGATCATGGTTCAAAATGGATTGTCGGGAGCCAGCCCCAGCACCCACAGTGAGCACTCAGATGCATATGAGGAAGGAAGCTGCCTAAGCCTTAGCTCCCATATCATGGCTCCCCTGCCCCCTAGGTCGCGATGTTCCAGGGATAGAGCACACAGCCTCTGATCTCACGGTCCCACCTTTCCATTTTTCCCAAGTATATGGCTCTGGGTAATGATTTGGTCTCTTTCCAAACTTTAATCTATGTCAGGAAAATGAAAATAACTCCATACGTAGACATAACCGATGCATAGACAGAGCAAGGTGGCTGATGGGAAATGTGTCATAAACTGGAGTAGCCATGATGAGAGTCATGATGGAAAGACCCAGCTCTACGGTCAACCCCAGATCTCCCCATAAACAGATCCGAGGCTGAAACAGACAAAGCCTTTCCACCCCCGCGCACACACAAAGAAAGGCTTCATCCCACACCCCCAACCTGTGTCCTCCTGTGCTGGTGACCCAGTCACCTGCCACACCTGTGTGGGCCCACACCCCACCCCATAGTCACATTCCAGGGGCCCCTGGGGCAGAGGGAGGGTTTCTGCTGTGACAAGAGAGGCTTTCATAGGCAGGGACAAGGATCTCCAGGCAATCTGAGGCTGGGGGTGCGGCCTGGCCTCTGCCACCAGCTCCAAAACCTGAGAATTTAAGTGATGGAAGGAGATTGAAGGTGTTGTAAGGTAGAGGAGGAGGGCCACAGAGGTGGGGCAGAAAAGGCGCGAGCGGAGCTCTGGGACCACACTCTTATAATCAGCCTTATGATTTGGAGCAAGCTAAGTAAGGTACGGAGACCCACGGGGGAAGGAAGGAAATAGCGCCTTCTTCAGGGTTAGCAGGAATCACAGCACAGTGTGCTTCCTTAAAAGGCCTCAGATGGGATACTGAGTAAGACTAGGGTCCTTTACCTGTCCCCCTCCCCCACGGGCCCCTGCCAGCTGTCGTGAGAGCCAGCAGCCACGGCCTTGTTTTATGGGGGTCCCTTGTTTACCTTGAATTGGCCGCAGCTCTTGGCAGCTGAACTGTAAAGGACAGGGTCACCATACCTACCCCAGGGGCAGAGCTGAACCAGGAAGCTGCAATTTTGTTCCTTTGTGAGCTCAGGGCAGGCTCCAGACAAGCCAGGTTGGGGGCCATGTGGGAGATCTAGGTCCCCGCTGAGACTCATTCCAGGCTCTGGGCCCAGGTAGGAGCTGGTGGGTGTTAAGGGGCTTACGGCAGGGCTGCTGCGTAATGAATGTGTTGGTACCTGCACACCGGCATACATCAGCAAGGGACACCCCTCTCCAGCCTTGCTTTAAACAGCACATCAAAACCCCAAAGCCCTAGTATGTGTTCAGTAACGTGTCAGGACAAAACATCTCGGGAGATCCCTGTCCTGAGCCGTCGGTCACGTGGAACAAGGCTAGGAGAATGGTGTGAACTCCAAGAGACCACCTGGGTCACAGCGGCTTTGATGCTGTGGATAGCTGATTGCGTTGTATAGCTGTGTGCGGCTTCTCTGAACTCATTCCCTGCCGTATAACATGCAGCTCATCCTACCTCTGGGGTTGTTTCTGTTAATGGCACATAGTCGGTGTTCAATCTGCGTTCATACACACATCTCAATCCAAGGGAGTGCAGTGGGAAGAAAGGCAACTCTGCGCCTGTTTCAAAGCCCACTTTGAGGCTGCACAAGCATGAGGACCCGGGTTCGGATGCCCAGCGCCCTCATGAAAAGCTGGTGTGGGGCCACAAGACGATTTTTGTGGGTAAAGGCATGTGCCCACCGAGCCTGACAAACCTGAGTTAGGACCCTAGAACACGTGTGGGTGGGAGGGAGAGAACGGACTCCTAAACGGTGTCTTCTCACCTTCACTCCCACACAGTGGCGTGCTTGTGCATACACACCTAGGCACACTAAGTGAATAAATAAACATAAAAAAGAAAAATAGCCAGGCGTGGCATTGCACATCTGCAATCTCAACACGAGGGGGTGATGACAGAAGATACCTAATGTAAACCTCTGGCCTACACACACACACACACACACACACACACACACACACACACACATACACACACACACACACATACACACACACAACATACACATGCACACACACACACACACACACACACACACACACACACACACCTCACTC